ACTGAAGCCAGAATCACTGCTGACCTGGGGGAAGGTTATGTTGTTTTGAATCAAAATCACCAATTTTCTATTGGGAGAGTAGAAAATGGGTATTAAAAGTAAAACAAAGCATCTTGAGAAAAACAGGTACTTTCCTGGGTTTGTTTTGCACCAATTATTAGCAACCTAAGTTATAATTCTAATGAATTAATTCTAATAAAGAAGAGCCAACTCCAATATCAAATGACACTGAACAAAGTGACAGATTCTTTCAGAGGTATTTTAAAAACTCATATCTTTCAATTTTCTAAACCATACTAAAGATGGGAGTTATAAATGAAGTTCCCTTATTCAGAGTATTAAGGAAAGTAAGACTGATCATGTTCATTTTCTCTTGTAAGGTCTCTCTGGGAATTTTCTGTGGATTCTTCTTTTTACTCTCTTCAGTAATAACCACTCTTCATCTTACTGGGGTGATTTTGCTTTTTGGAAATAGCTAAATGTTACCCAGAAGCAGGAGTAGTGGAAAAAGTGAATAGAATATACTTTCAGATGCTGAAAGTGTATAATTTGATAATACAAGTGATTTGCTTATGCGTTCCTTAATGTTATTTCTAAGAAGATGAGTTTTAAAAAGAATGTGAATGATGACAGCATCACTAAGATAAGTATTAACTTCCCAAGTGAACTAGGATACCTTTGAAGAAAACATCATTCAATTAGATGTCAAATGTGTCTGCTAAAAGAATCATTAATTGTAATGATTATAATCATATTTAGAAGTGTCCATTTAAACTTTATCTCCTCTGAGAACTGTATTTTTTTAAACATTGGGAATTGAATTTGGCGATTTCATTATTTGAATGCTGTAAAGGGGAAAAAAAACCCAATTTGTGATGTTTGCTAGGATAGTTATTACTCTTATTTAAACAGTTGGAATAAAAGCAAATGCATATAAACATATGCACATAGTATTTGCTCAATTTTAATGGCAGATCCCTGAGCATACATTTTAAAATATTATTTTATTGGAATATGTAGGGGTGTACATGTGGGTGCATGTGCAAGAGTGTAACATTAAAAAAAAAATCTACATCCAAAACTCTGTGATGTTTTAGGATTCTATTCAGATAACCAAGAAAGAGTAAACAGGTTAATAAAGCCCATTATAATTCTCTAACATATAATGCTGCTATAATAATACCAGGAATACAGACAATAACTGAAGAACATCAAGATTATATAAATCCTTCATAGTCCTTCAAAGCCTAACAATACATACTTAGGACCTTATGCTTCTAAAACCTTAAGATCATCTATCCAGTCACACCATCATTGTATAAGTAAGTGACAGCAGCTCTGAGAGGTGAAGTACCTGCCAAAAATTACTCAGCCAGTGCCTGGTAAGGGTTGGAATGAGATTCCTGCCCAGGCCTCTTCTCTCCACCCCCTGCCTTAATTCAGCTCAGATCCCACACCTGTAAAATGAAGTGAATGGACTAGCAGATGGTCTCTAAGGTCTCTCTTATAACTCACTCTGTTGCTCCAGAAGTCCATCAATTACTACAATATTATGCTTATTTCAAATAAACTCTTTTAGCTCAGAGATGATGCTATAAACTAAGGAAGTCCCTGTTTACCAAATCACTAATGTGCATTCCTCAAAAGAAAAGCAGAAAGAGGCTGTACTCTTAAAGAATAAGCCCAAGATAGTTCTTTGTCATTATCTTCTTCAAGCATCTACCATCATCTCTGGCTTCTAGTCTATTTTCATTAACTGTCTCCATTAAGCTTTATTGAGCCAAATGACTAGTTACTATATTTCAATGTAATTATGGGTAATGCATGAAAGGAACAATTTAGAGACACCTATTCTAAACTGTACGCTTCATGGTTTCAACTAAATTGAGAAACTATAGTTCATTATATTTCTAACACATATATATGAAAAAATCAAATATGAAAACATAGAACTAAACATTATCCTTCTTTAAAAATAAACATTTCCTTTGTTAATTTATACATTCTTTCTGTGTCCAGGAAAGAGGATACAATTCTGATCTGCAGCAAGTTTCTTGTCCATAAAGGGGTAAACCATGTCCTATTTCCACTGCTACCCAATCACAGAGAGCTCTTCACGGCCTTTTGTTTTCTGTCGTCAGCAGGAAGCTGTGCCTCTCTCAACTTTGGAAATGATCTGTTCTCCTAGCAGAAGCCTTTATTTAGCTCATCTAATTTCAGCTGGCAAGGGAAGTATTTGAAGTCAGAAGGAAGAATGAAAGGTTCAGACTTGTCCTCTGAAGCCTTTCCAGGCTACTCTTCCACTGCTGGGGTCAAAGCTGGCCCTCCAGAATGCAGTGTCTGCAGGCTCTTGTTGCTGTTAAACTCCTCCCCACCCCCCCACCCTTAAAGTGCAAATGTGAGGAAGAAGAAACAAAAGTACTAGCTAGAGAACAAGCAAATGGACTTGGAACTTTATTTATACAAATCTGATCAACTAAGTTTGTCCCTTTTGATCATGAACAATGGCACTCGAGAAAGAGAACAAGGTGGTTCTCTGTGCCCCTTCTTTTCAAAAGGGTGATTTTATAAAAGTGCTTTCCATGTAAGGAAATAAAATACACTTTAGTGAGTAAGTACATATACAGAGGGTGACCATGAGGCATGTTGTTATGTCAGTGCAGGGGCCTTTATTTATTTTATTAACAACAGTCTAAGGTTAGTGAAGAATTATGCCTTGTTTGGTTTTTAAATCTGGGAAGCCAAGGAAAACCATCTGAACATATTCCATTGGCTGCAGCCTTCAATTTAAACATCAGAGAGAAAGGTAAGTAGCCAAACTGTGCCCAGCTTGTCAGCACACTTATTTCTGATTATCTGAAAATAAACAACATGCTTATTCTATAGAGACAAGACCTGCTGGAAGCTTATAGCAAGACACACAATCTACTCAAAATAATTCCATATGTTACACTGTAGAATCGCTGTGTGGTTATACAAGGGAAAGTGATCAAAACCCTGTACAGACACCTGATATCGGACTTGAAACGCCAAGTGGAAACAGAACTATTCAGTGTCTTCATTTATACACAATTTACAATATTTGATTCAAAATAAAAATCACAAGAAAAATACATCTGTTTCTGCTACAATTCCTTCCCCTCCCCTATCCACCCCCCAGTGAAAAGTCTTCTAATAAAAGGTATCATATTACCACCACTGTCTTGTTTTGGTCTAATTCTGAGGTTCTGGTTTGAGCCAGGTAACATGAAAAGGAATGGCAATACTTGGGGTTTATATAACGTACACATTTTATCCAAGGATCTCAAGTACTTGCAGTCACGTCTCCAGATCTGAGAAATCACGACTCAGTGGAAGCCAGAAAGTTGGACGAATGCTGGGTGGGTTGCATGGGGTGTAAATCTCTTGGCTAAGTCTATGATTAAACAAGGGCAAAGTTGGTAGGCCAGAGCTGGGCTCAATTTCTCTTCTCAAACATATACTATCAGTGAGTTTTACCCTCTCTTAAACCACACACCCATCTCCAGGCTACTGCCTAGAGTTAAAACCAGCTGAAGAAGCCAGGTCCTCATGATAATGCATCAGAATAAAAAGCAAAAACAGGAAAACATATTCATCAGCATCTGGCCAAGGAGACAGGGGCTGGGAGGATTGATTTGGGAGGCCATTCCTAGCAAGAATGAGACAAAGGTGTCAGTTCACTATGTTCAGTTACAGTTAAGCTTTTGGTGGAGTCAATTCCAGCAGAGGTGAAGCTCATGGCATCTAGCGCTTGATTTAAGATAATGCTATTGAAGAAGGTTAATGAGAAAACACAGCAAACTAACAGGGAGGAACTGGCCAAGGAATATATCTGGAGGGCCAAAGTGATTTTCTTTCCTTATCATTTCTATAGGAGAAGGCAAGGGGTAGGAGAAAAGGGCTGGAGGGCCCTTTATTTGTAGATTTTTTAAAAAAATCATTTTTCTCATAACTCCGTAATGAAAATGTATATTACGGCATGAAGGTTACAGAACTGCATCTGCTACTGGGTCACCGCTACAGGTCTATGAGCTGATCCACCAGCAGCAAAGACCTGGCTAGGTTGGGAAGACTGGACTCAGAGCTCCCACTGCTGTTTCTAGAGTGCCCACCTGGAAGTGGAGAGATAGGAATTCAGTACAAAACACAGAGGGTTAAGGTTTAGATGTGCAGAGAAAGCAAAGGAGAAAAAAAACAACACAGAAACCTAGAGAGGCAACATTTTACATTTGCAAACTCTCATATGTAATGATTTTTAAACATAAAATTTAGCTATCTACCACCTCCCACCAAAAGTTTAGGCACTCTGTGTACACCATAGCATAGGCAGACACCTTATAAAGATGAAGCTCTTCTCCAAACAGTACGTTGCCTGAGAATTGCTGGCTTTACACTAGATTTCTGTTAACATCAAGCCATCCCCTTGATCAATTTTTGATTTGGGGAGAAATTAGTTATTAAAACACTGTAATAAGAACATGCTTTAAAAAAAATAAATACATGGTCTGATGGCAATTCAGTGTTTTATGGCATGTTCAAGTGATTTCAATTCATCAAAGAGGAATAAGCATGCTCTGAGAATGTCCAAAAGATGTGGCTAATACAAAAGCACCACTGTTAATCTCTTTGGAAAGAATATTTATTACAGATTGTTCTAATCATAAAAAAAGTTAAGAACTTTTGATATATAAATTAAATTTCCACTGACTGAAGATCACTTTATTTTTGGCTTGATACTTTGTAAACTAGTTGTTAGTCAAACTATTTCTACATAAACATCATGGTCAAGCTTTAGGTACCTCTATCAGTATCTCCATCTCTACCTATCTATACTGGTCCAGCCTACAATGAATGATTGTCATTGCCCCCAGTGTCCTTCACTAAATGTTGACTCTTTCCCCCACTTGCAGATTAGGTACATTATTATTTTGATGAGAGCAGATGTCAAGCTCTTCCTTGTTCCCCCACCTCTTTCTTACCTTGTGGGTTTTTGGTTATCAATACAGGAATAGGGTCAAACTCATCTTCTGCCACCTTTTCCGAGCCCTCAGGGACATCAAAACCTGAGATGAGATTACTATCTTCTGCAGCTTAATACAGAAGGCAAGCACACAAGTAGAAACAACAGAGGTAGAGATTAGCAAACAGAGAGAAAGGGAAAGAGGCACAAAGTTCCCAACAATATATTTATATATATATAATTACTGGAGTTCTTAAAGTTGAAGGTACTTATTTTTCTGAGTTGAAATAAAAGTAGGGAAACAGAAAACATAAAGATATGGAAAATGCTTTAGAATTGGCCATGTTAAGTCTTTCATAAATGATTAGGGAGAAGGGTTACTGGAAGAATTTTCTCTACTATTTGTAGGACCATTAACTATAATTATTGTGAAGTATCTCTTCAATGTTACTAATTCAGAAAGGCACAAGAATGAGTCAGCTGTTTTCTTTATTGAGGGAAAAGAGGCCTGGCTAACATGTTCAAAAAACTCAAAACTAGGAGTGTCGGGGAGAGAGAACTAGCAGTTCTTTAAGAAGTGATGACTGAAGGGGCAGGTGGTGCAGCTCAGTGGAACAGCACATGCTTAGCATGTGTGAAGCCCTAGGTTCAATCCCTATCCCCAAGAGACCCCAAACCAACAATAGGTAAGTATACACAAGGCAAGTAAAAATACTTATAGAAGGACTCATTGTTCTGTGAATGGGAAAAGACTTTCAAATGACTTAGTTGCCTCAGGGAGCAGTAGGGCATAAAATCTCCTGCACTGAAACTTCTAGCAGAAGTTTTTAAAAATGTTTTCTCCAATCTAATTAAAGCAACAGTACCAACAAGTGCTACCTGAGCACCTATTTTGCAAGGGATGTTTCTCTGTAATTAGATACTGCTGCTGGCATACTCCTGCCACACACCACTGTCTAATTAGGTAACTTCCCTTTACATATGCTATGAAAAAAAAAAAAAAACAATCATTTTAATGCTATCAGAGATAAAAACAAAAGCTCAGCTATTACCACTGCAAACCATGAGCTAATTACTTTTAGTCATCTCTGGGCAGCTTCCTTCTTGAATTTCCCTCAGAAAGGCTTCAGCTGTTCCTTTTCTATGTATTTTCTCCTTCTAGAAAACCACTTTCATTACTCAAGCAGAGAAATAAGTTTAGTAAATGCCTACATAGAGGAAGTCAGACAGTGTACCTACCATTGTCACAAACTTCTAGCTGAACAAAACTCAATTCAAGCTACCTCTGTCCAGCAGAATTTCAAATCAATATTAATCCAAAACTAAGAAGTAAAAATGCCAGATAAGGAAGAAAAATCAAGTAATCAATCATGATTTTAAAATGGACAAAATTTGAAACTTTTTAAAATTCAATTTCTGAAGAGTGACTTTTGAGGAACACCTGTTTCTTTACTGTAGTCATAATTGTTCAAAACCCTGAATCACATTTGATGAACAACTCTACTTTCCAAGGTCAACAAGTATCACATTAATAATTACAGTGAGTAAGTGGACAGTCAGCTCAAGCATTTTTCTTGGCTGACTGTTAAGGTATATGGTGCTCAAAGGCAACGTAAAATATCACCTGCATCCAGTTCTTGCCAGAAAGTAACACCCTCACCAATCTGTTGTCTAAGGCTTATTAGATATTCTGAGAGGTATCATAACAGTGACTAAGAATACAAACTTAAGTTTTCTATAAAAGGAAGTTTAAATACTTTATAGCAAAGACTTTTGAAAAGGAAAACTTAGGAGCTGTTCAGCTCTTCTCCTCCAGGGATACCTGTGGGCCTCAGAAGAAGAATTTACCTTTATGGGCTGGAGCAGAGATTGCTATGGGAGCAAACTCTTCCAGAAGGTCAGCAGTAGGGTTAGAAAGCAGAGAGCAGTCAAGCAGGGAATCTTCCCCAGTGAGAGAATCTGAGTCCAGTTAGCAGCATTCCAGGTCAGTGACAGCATTAAATGGCACATATAACAATATCATGAGATTAGATTTAAGCCTTTAAATTATTGCATTTACAAGTTATACATTCAAGCCAAGGCGGGAGAAAGAAAACCAAAAGAAACATGTTAAGTCCTCTGGATTTCTATCCACATCAACATGTATTTCTAGACTCCTCTTAACATTAACTTGGAAGTATAGGAGACATTTTAGCTCAGAGGTTGCTGGTTAAGCAAGTCTGATTTGGATGCCAGTACAATTTTAACAACTTAGTTCTCAGCAAGTACCATTTCAGAAAAAGGACTTTGCAATTTGTTTCATTTCCCTAACATTCACAGGAAAAGATTTACCACACTGAAATTGAAATTGGTATTGAAATTAACCAGGAGAGTTGATCTAGCTCTTTATTAGTAGAATGTGATGAGATTAAACAATACTTTCTAGAACTCAATCAGATTACCATTCTAAATGTGTCTTGTTAGTATTCTTAAATTTAAATTACTCCTTTGAACACATAATTTGTTTTCAGTAAAAGAATGGAAGGAAGACAAAAATTCAGAGAGTTCAAGCATTTAAACAAGGATTGTTTTTTGGGAGAGTTTTCTAGGAGAAAATATCCAAGTGAGGACAAAGAAAACGAACCACTTTATCTTCTGGGGTAAATTTTTTCACCTGAGTAAGTTTATGTTCACATTTCCAAGACCTCTAACTGCTGATTTTCTGAGTCAGATAATCAGACACTTTTATCAAGGTAATTATAGACTCAATAAAAATGAATGTTATCAAATTTGTTTTTATAAGCAGATAAGAAATTCTACTAAGACTGAATGTTGAAATTAAGGTCAAAGTAATGTTGAATCCAAGGAAGAATCTGGTTTTGCCTACAATTTAACAGCAAACCACCCCTAGATGATTAAAGCACTGTTCTGGGTAAAAAATGTCAACCCATAGGAGATGTGCTCTGCAGATACCCACTGATATTCTCGGTGGGAAAGACGGCTGGGCAGTCTAGAGGGGGTTTACAGCATGGCCACTCTGCAGAGTTCTTTAATTAAGGAGGTGGAGAGATCTGCCACCAGTAAAAAGAATCTCGAATAAAGAAATTCTATAACCAGGGTAAGCCTAGGGCCTACTCTAAAAAGAGCACAAATCCAAAAAGTACTCAGTTCTTCAGCAAGGAAAAATACATCCAACATCTAGACAGCAGGGCTATAAGAACAAGTATCCACTCTAGGAGAAACTAGCCAGGCTAAAAAATAAGCTGATGATCATCTGCCAGAGATAGAAAGCCACATTGATCAGACCCTTCAGCTACTGAGATCCCTGACTGACCTGTGCGGTTTGAGGTCACAGACTCCGTCTGAGATGGGAGGCGCTGGGCCACTGGGGGTTCCAGTCCTGGTATGAGACTCTCAACAGCAACATCAGCTTTTTCTTTTGTAACAGAGCATTAAGAAAGGAGAGGAAAGGGTAAGGGAAGGAAGACAGAAGTTTCTTCAGGAAATTCTGTGAAGGCTTTCTTCTGTGAAATTTCTGTACACAGGTTGCTAAAATACCAGCCTCAGCAAGATGGAAAGCACAAAAAGTGACTATTTCTGCTGCTTTCAGTGTCTAGATTTCACTGTTAGAGCATGGAACATAAGCCTCTTTCAAGCATGAGATTTCTACCATGTTAGAAGAGATTAGCTAAAAGGCACCTTAAATTCTTCTGGTAATTTTGCTTTTTTTAAGTAACAAATTTAGAGTAAACATCTTCTAATCTAATGCAAAAGCCTCAAATCCATCTCATCTCCATCCCATGGTGTAGCTGGGAGGCATTCTGCACCATGTCGTATTTCTCAACTGAAGGCCCATTTTTTCTGTAGGGCCATGGCATTTGTGAATTCTAGGACATTTTTCCCCAGAGGCATTACCAGGTCTCTAATGACTGCTCCTCCTAAAGTACAGAGGCCTTGGACATTTTGTAGGTTTTGCCTGCCTTGCTATTGGAACACAAGAAAATATAAGCAAATAAGTAGACTGAGTCTTGCCCTAGATTCTATTCAGGGAGCTTAACCACTGGACAAAGCATTTTCTGGTACATGCATTGGCCTTCTAAGGAAGAATCTGCTATATTCCATCAAGTTCAGTAAAGTAAGGTCCAGTTAGAAACCAATTTTTTCATGATGCTTTTGCAACTGAATTCTTCACATTCCTGTTCATTCATATGAAATTCATTCTGGGATCTGTTAATCAGACATTTAATTCAAAATACACATACATTTCATGCATGATTGAAGAAACAGATGGTGACTTTACCAATTACAGCATCGGAAGTGCTACCAAAAGGATCTGCCATAGGCAAGAGTTCAGGGAGCAGAAGAGACGTGTCAGGAGATTTGAGTCCCTCAATTAGTTTTTCTAGGTTGGGCAGGGAGGTAAAGAGAAAGCAAAAAAGCAATGAGATATTAAAGCAAGTGACTCACTCATTGTTTTCTTTCTTTTTCATTTTTTATTTTAAGTAAGGGTCTTGTTAATTGCTGAGGCTGGCCTCAAATTTGCAATCTTCCTGCCTTAGCCTCCCAAGTTACTAGGATTACAGAGGTGCACCACCCTGCACAGTATTCAATCACTGTTTTCTATGCAAACACATTTTAGGGGTCAATATTTGGTAAAGATTCACTATAGAAATTAATACTATTGGTATCTTATTAAAAACAGGTTTTCCAAATTCAGTTTACAAAAGGCTATTTCCCCAAGACAAGTGGTAAGATGTGCTCTAGGTTTGTTTCTCTGCTTGTTTTGAGGTATAATTGACATTTAATAGACATCACCAATTTCAAGTGTACAATTTGGTGAATTTAGACAAATGTACACATTCATAAAATTACCACTGAAATAATGATATAGAATATTTCCCAACATTTAAAAAAATTCATTGTGCCCCTTCATAGTAAATATGTTTCTCTCACCCTAGACCCTGGCAACAATGGATCTGTCCCTATGGTTTTGTCTCCTGCAGAATTTCCTTTTTTTTTTCCTTTTCAGTACTGGAAATTGAATATGCTAGGCAATAATCCTACTACAGAGCTACATCCCCCACTGGCTTTGAGACACGGTCTTGCTAAATTGCTGAGGCTGGCTTCAAACTTCAGACCCTTTTGCCTCAGCTTCTAAGTCACTGGGATTACAGACGTTTGTCACCAAGCCTAGGCCAGAATTTCCATTTTAAATGGAGCCACACAATGTGTAGTCTATTGTGTCTGATTTCCTTCATTTAGCAAAGTATTTTTGAGAATCATCCATGTTGTAGCCTATATCAGAAGTTTGTTCTCTTTTATTGAGGAGTATTGTTTTATTATGTGGCTGTACCACATTTTGTTGATCCGTCTACCAGTTAATAGGCTTCTGGTTGTTTCCAGTTGTCAGCCATGAAAAATAAGGTTACCATAAACATTTGCATACAAAACTTTGTGTATTTGTTTCCTTTTGGGGGGCATAGTTTTCAACCTATTTTTTAAAAATTTGCATTTAGAAACAGTTTATAATCAATTCAGTCTCACATAAGGTAACTTAAATCATTTACTGACTGTCAATGATGTATATGTAACATGTTCCTATTCTTAATTATTCTATGGTCAAATATCAAAAACAGTTGACTTAGGCCTGCAGATGAATTACTGTTGATGTCTGTTCGCTAACAAATAAAAAGACATTAGAAGCCAAAAACAAACAAATAAACAAGAAGCCACCAGATTTGTCATACCTGGTAATTTAATGTAGAGCAATGTATATACATTAAGGTTCTTTCCAAAATAATTCCTTTAGCCCTGATCCATCAACAACACTCTACTTACCTTTAAGTGACTAAAGGTTGAGCATTAACTTAAAAAAAACAAAAAGAAAGGAATCACAGAATCCCACAGGAAGAAGGGAATTAAGAGCTCATGCCTCTGTTACAAGGAGCCTCAAGTCACAAATTCTAACTCTTGCCCAGTTTAACCAAAATTAAAGTGTGTTTGAAAAAATAAGTGATTTAAAGTTCAAGCATGTATATATAACATTTTAATCAATTTGTAGTCTTCTAGGATGTTGGAAAATGAGCTAAGCGATAAATAAACTGATATTCATTAAAAGGCAGGAATCATATTTTAAGGGGATCATAATTTAAGGTGGTCATAAGGAGCCCAGACATGTCTTCAACTACACAGACCAAATGAAAGAACAGATTCTAGAGTCTTGGCAAGATAAGTTGTTTTGGTATAATTAACACACTGAAACAAAAAAAGAGATTGTTATTTTTATTTATGTGAAGCTAATTTATCATCTTTGGAGCACATGGAATATAAATGTCTTTGAATTACATGACAATATGCTGCACATTTCTCATTTATACCTGATTTACACTGAAGAAGGGAAAAAAAGGGGATAGGGTTGTAGCTTAGTGGCAAAGCGCTTGCCTAGCATGTGTGAGGCACTGAGTTCAATCCTCAGCACTGCACAAAAATAAAGGCATGCTGTCCATCTACAACTCTAACAACAACAACAACAACAATGATGGAGAGGAAAGGAAACTTCTCAAAAGCAGGGGGAATAAAACACTGGGGGTCTATTCAACTATACAGTGTAACACTATATCAGCAATTTAGCAAGACCGTGTCTCAAAGCCAGTGGGGGTGTAGCTCTGTAGCAGAATTATTGCCGAGCATATTCAATTTCCAGTACTGAAAAGGAAAAAAAAAAAAAGGAAATTCTGCAGGAGACAAAACCATAGGGACAGATCCATTGTTGCCAGGGTCTAGGGTGAGAGAAACATATTTACTATGAAGGGGCACAATGAATTTTTTTAAATGTTGGGAAATATTCTATATCATTATTTCAGTGGTAATTTTATGAATGTGTACATTTGAATTTTTAAGATAGAAATAAAAATAAAAATGGTTATTGTTACTTACAGGTAAAAGAAGACGGTTTTCCTAAAAAACTCTAACTCTTCATTATTCTGAACACTAGTCTGTATCTTATTTTTCTGCAAAAAATTTGTCATTTTAAAAAATGAAATTTGCTTCCTTCACTTGGCATTCAAGTATTTGAAATCCTGTGAGGTCATGGATAAAAAGGTAAAGGCCAAAATTACTTGATGCAAACCTTGGGCAGGAATTCTTTCAGAGTTTGAATTCTAGCCTCCCTGGTGATGGGCTGTGATCCTGGTGCAGTTCCTTAAACCTCACGCTATCTCCTCGTCTATAAAACAGAGAGAGCACCATCATATCTTTCTGTGTTGGTCAAACACCATCTCCTCTAAACTTCCTGCCACATTAGGAACCTCCTGGAGCAGTCTGCACTCACTGCTCTTGCAGCCCTTACATGGTGACTGAACGCAGGGAAGGTCTTATTAAGACTTAGTTCATATCCCCTGCCACGTCTGTGCCTTGGATTCATTAGAGAAGTGGGGAGAGTAGAAGATCAGTTGGAAAAAGTCAGGTACTTTAATGAGGGAAGCCATTCTCGCACGTGATTGGGCACCTGCCTGATTGGGTGTGAGGTGATCTGGCCAAACTGTGTCGGAGCTATCCCCACCCTCTCCAGGTGGGAGAGCCTGTCCGCATGGGGGCAAAAAAAAAAAGGCTGTAGGATGCTGACAGCCTATCAGTCATGGAGCCTGGTGGCTGCCCATCTGCATCAACAGCTAGCCCTGAAGTCCTTGTATTATGAATTGTCCTTTTTCTTACATTCAAGGCCAAGTATTAAGGTGAGGCATGGGAAAGAACAACAAAGAGAAGACGGTAGTAAACTCAGGAAACTGCTAGAAGTGTTCAAGATCCAAAACCTCAATCAAGTCCCATGTCAGCATCATGACTTATTGTTATCTAATAAACAAAAACTTCTTAAATTTTGTATGAATCATGGGAAATGTATTCTCTGGATACAAAAGCATAAGCCATATTCTGGGGAAGTTCATACCAGAAATGCTTAAAGACTCACACTCCTATTCTCTATTATTCAAAGTGACAGATCAATGAAGCAGAAATTATTCATAAACTGCATTTTAGAAATGATTTAATCCTCCTAAGGAATGTTTTACAAGAATTGTTCTATCTTGGGGGCTGGGGCTGTACCAGAGCGCTTCCCTAGGATGTGTGAGGTACTGGGTTTAATCCTTAGTACTGCATAAAAATAAATAAAATAAAGGTATTCTGTCCATCTATAACTACAAAAACAAATAAAAAAAAGAGTTATTCTATCTTTGTGTTAGAATTATAAGCCTGTGACCCCAATATATTCCATTGCATGGGAAAAGCAGTAGCTAATTCTGGATAGAAGAAAATGGTACAGTTTTCCAACAGTTCCTCATCTGACTCTGATATTTTAGAACCGATTCCAGACTCTAAATGTGCGTGTGTGTGTGTGTGTGTGTGTGTGTTTATAGGAGGAGCTGTGCTTGTAGAAATGAGAGGATACTCCGGATCTGGGGAAGATTTAATTTTTTTTTTTTATCGTGATGCTGTACATTTTGGGGACTTAAGCTAAGGTCTGCAAAATTCTGAGAAGTAAATAAGTAACACAAAACTTAAGTTACCTAACAGTTCTAAGATTCAGTTCTTCACCTATAAACAGAGGATAAGAACTAATTTAAAGGTTTGTTAGGATAAAACAGTTGTATTTATCAGAATTAATTTGTATGTATGTATGTAAGTAAAGTGACATATAAAAGGGTATTAACTTCTTTAAGTGGGAGTAATAAGTGGATGAGCGGTCACCACATCACAGATGTTTGAGTATAGCAGAGGACATAGGTAACATTCCAGATCTTCCTCAAATGCCTGGTAGGAGAACAGAACATGCAGAACTTCTATAAAGTGAGACATGGGGAGTAGGCAGCCTGGGCTGAGAGAAGGAAAAGCAAGAGACGTGGTTCTGCTCTAGGTTTGTGCTGCACTGTGGGCAAGTCTCTTACTCTCTCTGAATTTCCTTATTGATAAAAATGAAAGTAAACTTAAGAACTCAACCTGCCAATAAATGCCAATTATGTATGAAGGGAAAAAATGGGAACAGGAGCTAGTTGCTCAAGAGATGGACTCTCAATATGAAAGTGAAGGGTAAGGACTCCAAGGGAGGGTGCTTGGAGGAAGACACAAGCAGGAGGTCTGCAAAATTTTGAGAAGTAATTTGGCAGGAAGACCCAAGCAGGAAGTAAGTGACTGGACCCAGGGTAACAGGTCAGTGGAAAAAGCAGAGCTGAGTCAACATATTTTTCAACACACACACTGCCCAGAAGGCACAGCCATGAGAACAGGGAAGGCAGGGAAAGATCTAAGCTCATGGCTCATCACAAAAAAGAACAAATTTCTATTTTCTTCCTTATTATAAAAGTAGTACATATTAATTGGTGAAAATTTGGGAAAAAGAGATAAGCCAAA